GCAAATAAACTGTATGGCTTTTTTAATTGTCACCTATATGTTAAAATATATGTATACATATATGAGCTTTAATGTGACAATGGATGTCCAAGTATCGTGGTATTCGGTTCATAATGGAGACTAGAAAAACATTTGATATCCTAAATAGTAACTGATCGTCACATAAGTATACCTATTTTTGTCCATTGTTACAATTGATCATTTTAATGTGAATTTCTAACATTTGCCACGATATCATATCCCTACGATCCCAATATCAATGTTCAATATTGTCAACTCACTGCGCTATGCAACATTTTGTGTGAATTGAACAAACAAGAGGTCTTTGGTGCACCATTAATAAAAAACCGACTGAAACTATTGGTCTGTTCCCGTACAGCAAGAATCTACTAGTTTTTATTACTATTTTCCATATCATAAAAGTAGTAGATTCTTGGAATACGGGAGCAGACCATATATGTGAGCTATATGTTAATCTGAACCGATTACGTCAAGGCATAGACTAATGAATGTATAGACGACGAAATGCTCTCACCAGTCCTCTCCGAATTGAGTCTGCTGAATGCGCTACTCAATTTTCAATGCTGATTTACTTAAATGTTTGAACCTTTTAATTTGGAATGCCACTAAATATAGTTAGTTTTAAGCAAAAACTATGTCCTCAGAAAAAAACATTAAAGAAAAATAGGCAATTTTCACCAAAAAAAACGTCTTTAAAAATTTTTGAGTTTTTTGTTTGAGTCACTTGACCGCGCATTTTTGAGTATTTCGTCGTCTATATCTTCATTAGTCTATGGTCAAGGCTAAGCAAGTTATCTTCTCAATCGGGAAAAATATCTGCGGTTTTGTACGCCATTTACATCAATTCTATCGAAACTATCTATGGGAGCAATATCTAAATCTGAACTTATTTCGACAAAACTTCAATACACGGAAATTTCGACTTAGTTTACCCATTTTTGTTATGTTCCCATACTGCAGGAATATACTAGATTTTACTATTTTCTTCCTTATCATAAAAGAAAATTCGTTAATGCAGTAAAAAGTAGTAGATTCTTGCACTACTGGAACAGACCAATTATGTACAATATTTAGTCTCGATCGAAAAAATATTAAGACTTTGTAAAATCGTACGAAACTATATATGTGAACTGTATCTTAATTTATTTTCACCAATTTAGGGTTCGTCCTAGGGCTAAATGAATTAACTGCATGAAATAATAAAACTTCAACCAGAACATGCAATATTTCGTAACGATTGGTGGAATACTTAAAAGTGCGATTATGTTTAGACCCCTGTAAATATTAATTATTCTAGATACTATGGGACAGCAACGTACACAGGATTTCATTTCGGGGGGGCCCGGTAGTACAAAATGAAAAAATTCGCTGTTGGAAGCATATATTTACTGTGAAAAAAATTCATTTCGGGCCCGGGCCGCCCCCCTGCGTACGTCCCTGCTATGGGAACATAACTGATTATGTTTTTCCGTACTAAATGCATATGATTTAATGTGCAAATGTTGTCAATTTTCAAGCAAAAGTTTTGGTTCATTTAAGTCGCTAAATATTTACCGATCATCATAACAACAGTCATATTTAATTGTATGGCGGATCCACTACCCCGTTTACATTTTCATGATGTTGGGAATATAATTATGGCCTCTTGAGCGATGCGAAAAATGGAAAAAAAAGTTTATGGTCCATTTGATAAACAATAAACAATAGGTGTCATCTAAAGCCAGACTATTGGCTTTAGATGTAGTGTAGCCTGCACTTTAATGGACAGGCGATGAGCTAGTCGAGATATGACGATCGGTATACTAAAAGTTCTAGGACCAAAATTTCGAGGCCTGACAAACGTATAACATACATGTAACAATTGTGTATCACTCAGAATTCCTATATTGCTCAAGCGGAATAGCCGCCGCATGCCGATGAAACATCCAACTATTTACCTCGGGGTGCTTCGTCCATGAACAACATGAATGAGCTCGTCTTCGAATATTGTTTCGTTTCATGATCTTTCTTCCAAAATATATTTGAACCAATCAACAAAGATCATCGGGCGCGTACTTGACGGTTTACAGCATCTGAAAAATATTGGTTAAAAGCATACCAAATACCCTCATCGACCTAACCAATTTTCCATATTGAATATAAGATAGGCCACTGTGGCATTACCAAAAGGATTGCAAATTTTTGACTAATATTTGTCTAGAATCATTTCCTATGCTCCTTCCGAAAATGCATACCACAAAGGCGTATCCCACAACGTTAGCATAAAAAGACATTTTGTTATGTATAATAACTAAATCATTTATTTTCCCAATCTACCACCGCTCATGTGATAAATGTCGTAGTCATCTGAATATACATTTATCTTCATCATACATTTTAACTGTCCAGCCAATACCAAAAAACTGAAAAAATATTTGAAGGAGTTATGTACAAAATATAGATTGAATAAATCACACCGCTTATTTTATACAAAATGTATTTAAAACTAAATACGAAAAATTAAATTATTTCACGTTTAGGTTGTTTCGGGCTTCGATTGATTTCTTGCCCGATTGCCGACATTCTGCATCATTTTCTGCTGTTTCAATCGTTCTTCGAATTGAAACTTTAAGATTTCTGGTTGTGTGTAAAGCGAGAAATTTATTTCCGGCATTCCAAACAAATTTAGTAAGTAGTTAACTCGAACTCGTTCCAGTGCTATTGCTGTCATGCATTCCTTAGTCTCTGACCTATTCACATATTCGTCAAAGGCTGCTTGAATAGCATCTGCGTTTGATGGTGGCTTCGGTGCAAGTATTTTTGGAGTAGTTTTTGGTATCAATCGTGTTGTTGACCTTCCTATGGGATTGCTTTTCAATACACTACTGTCCTCAAGCGAATTTCCGCCATCCTCATCTTCCACGGCTATTGTTTGGAATTGTACTTCTGGATCATCAATTGTTTGCAGGACACTTTTACGAGGTCGCCTTCTTGATTGCGCTGGTGAGTTTTCATTTGCCGAATTTGAAGATGTTTTTGTTGGTGCCGTCGTATCGTCATCGGAATCAATAATTTCTATTATTCTACTCATGTTTAAAATACTTTTTTCTATTATAATTATTTTTAAATAATCTTTAGCCAAATAATCCGAGTTTTCACATGTTACGAATATGGGGAGATACAAAAAAATGGCTGATAAAACTCAAAACAAAACAACGAGAGGAATTGTTTGTTTACGAAAAAGGGTTATGCATAACATCGATAGCCCAATATATTCATTCACAATAAGACTTTATATTTTTGAGACACCTTTATAGACTTAGTAATAATAAGTTTTCGAACACTAACACAACTTAGTGTCGATAAGACCGTTCCAGAAACTGAATGTCAACACGTACAACACATTAATATCTCGCAAACAGTGGACTATTTTTTTATTTTTAAATCTCAAATATCTATTTGGCGACATACGTTGGCCGAGAAATACTCGGGTCGTTGCGGATCGTAGACCCCTCTGTCGTGGAAACGTTTGTTTTTGTAATACAATTAGTTGTTGTAATTCATGCATACACCTTAAGGTGTTTTTTCACTATATGCATTTTGCGTATGTGCTGTCACTTTATTTACATATGCAGCTCGAACTCGTTGTCTGAAACATACGAAAATGTCAATGCGTCAAAACGATATGTAATTACATAGGGGAGAGGGGGCACCTTTGAGCACTTTTTTCTTTCAAGCCTCATAAAATTGTTTATTTTATAATTTTTGGTTTCTTATAAATTTTAACTTATAGTTACATATGTAACCATGGTATAATAGAAGGTAACAGCAAGTGTTGTTGTACAAAAAACGATACAACAACCACATGGAAATTTGTTTTTGTAAGTTCTACTAGTGTCAACTCATTTGACAGAAAAATGTAAATAAACAAACAAATTATCATCAAATTATTTTTATTTTGAAAATGAAATATTTTCGAATCCTCAAAATAAAAATTGAAAAACATGAATGAAAATCTATCAAATTTATATTTCTATCTATTCCACATCTTTCCTATAATTGAGCCATTGCCATATATATGTGTAACACATATGAAAATGCTGGGAATAGCGAGTTATTCCTTGAAGAAAGATTTGCTTCCTCAAACTTTCCCAGCAGGCAGATTGAGTAAATTGAATACAGGAGCACATTTAATAAAGAACAATTTTAAATTGTATGCGTTCCCAATTTTCCTGTTGGGTGATTTTTAAAAACATAATTTGTCAAATTCATATTGACACTAGTATAACGTTGGAATCAAATCAGCTGGGATTTGCTGTTACCTTTTATAATTGTACCATGATATGTAACCTTTACATATGACACACTTCAAGCTTGATATAAATATTTTATTGCTGTTTTGAGGGAGGAAGTCAAAGTGTTCAAAACTCCGGTCGTACCGGAACTACACAACTCTATTGTCTACAACTGCAAAGTGTGAACAGGGCATGCCCATGTTTTTCATTTATCTTTACACGTTTACCAACACTATGCGTCACATATCTACGGCATCAACAGAATTGAAAACGGTACTTTTGTAAATTAAATGGAAAAATAATTTCTTTTTATTTTGCGTTGGTGGGTCTCTATTGTCTACAACTGCAAAGTGTGAACAGGGCATGCCCATGTTTTTCATTTATCTTTACACGTTTACCAACACTATGCGTCACATATCTACGGCATCAACAGAATTGAAAACGGTACTTTTGTAAATTAAATGGAAAAATAATTTCTTTTTATTTTGCGTTGGTGGGTCTTCTACGAAATATAATTTGCGAAAAATATTAAAATGTTCGTTTTTCAAATTCTTTCTTTAGTATTATTTTAAACAATTTAAGTACATAGATATATAGAATCTAAATGCAAAAGCCATGGGCTTTAAATAATGAATGACAGAAAAAAAACAGTTATTCCAATGAAAGCGATCAATGAAGAAGTGTAGAATAGAGTAAACGAAAACTATGGAATCTCATTCATCGATCTCGGTAAACCCTCAAGAAATGCCATTTCGATCTGACGCCAGGAATGCAAATGTATTGGATGTTCAAGATCGCGGCTTTAAAATTGATATCAAAAATGATGATGACATTAAAATCGAAGACACACATATAGAAATGGATAACGAAGCCAATGAAGATTGTGGCGTACAGATCAAGCGTGAGCTTATTGATGAAGGTATTAGGACAGAGGAAAAGCTATTAGAAGATTCCAAAACACAAAATACAGAAATCAACATTCCGTGTATTGACTTGGAAGATCCTGGAGCGATGAAACCAAGTTCATCTATTTTATCTCCCACGGTTATAGATTTGGATGTTTCTAAAGTAACAAAATCCAAATCTGCGAACACTTCGCCAGAAAATTTCCATCAACATGCCCCAGAGAGTGGCAATTTGAGTGTCGAAGAAAACGATTGTTTCATAGAGGTGAAATGTGATGTACTTCTTAATGAAGATATTGGGATGGAAGAACAACAATTGAAATCTTCCAAAGAAACTGATATTATATGTATAGACTTGGACAACGTTGAAACTGATTTAAATGTACAGGCATCTTTAAATCAGAAAAATACGAACAACAATAACAATGAAGAAAATGTTGGAGCTGAAAAAGGAGCCAAGAAACAAAAACAGCCATTTGAATATTTAAAAAACCTCAAAACTACACACAAATGGGTTTCGACAAATTATAAGTCTAAGCCAAAACGGGTAAGCTATTCAATTAATGGAATGATTATTAGAGACTATTAAAGCTAGAAGTACGTGGATTGTTTAATAATGTTTTCCATATATAATTTTTGGAATAAATCGAGTTTAGTAGCGGGCTTCACTCTAAATATGACTTTCAGAAAAAATATCGGTTGGGTAAGTGCTCCTAATGTCGGCATGAATGTCATAGAGTGGAGCACGCTCCTAAACTAGATTTATACCAACAATTATATATGGTAAACATTCCTAAACAATCCACGCATCTGTTGTATATAACTTCAAATAACTAAAAAATCCTATAACAAATATTAAAAATACCTTGAATAATCTTCAATGATATTGCAACCTATCTCTGTGCAAAATTTCATCGAGTTAAGTTGATTTATTCGGGGAAAATGTTGAATTTTGTCAATGAGTTTTTTTTTAACAACAATCATGTTTCTCAAGAAAAAAATAGTGGGCATGTCGATTTTAAAAGACTTGTAACTATATTAAAATTATATATTTTTCACAAAGATCATTTTCGTACTTGTACAGAACATACAGGAGAAAGCTTTAGCATTTAAAATTATTAAAAAATATTTGTAATTAGGACATTTTTATCGATGCCGTCCTTGGGAACAAAAAATTTTTAGGTTTTCCTATAGTCGGCATATGGGTGAATAATTGGATAACAGGTTCCCAAGGTCGACACCATGTTTGATAATTGTAATATTTTAATAAATAAAATAATTATATATAAATCCTTGAAACAAACCGGTTGGAATTATCCGATAATAATAATTTAATAATGTAAAACAAAAAAAATCGATTACATATATAATTTTTGTTTAACTAAAATTCGCCATCCCGACTATAGGCACAAGGCATGCCGACAATTGCAAACTATTGGCAAAAAACACAATTTTACCAAATTGTAAATTTAGTCAACTTTAATACAAATTAATTCAACAAATTTGTATGGCTTGGGGAGTAAATAAAATTTCGTAACAATTAAAACTAAATAAACATTTGGTGCACTTACCCTGTCAATCAAAAACGGTCGAAATACAATTTGTTTAAGGGGACCCCCCCATTCTCGGGGTCAAATTTTTTTGATTTAATTCGATTCTACACTAATTCAATAATGTCTCTACAAAATTCCAAATGAAAATCTCAAGAACTCTTGAAGATATAGCCGATTTATTGTGTCAGCATCAAGTGACGGCTAGAGGACTTCTCAAACTTTAAACGCGTTTTTCTCTTTTGCGAATGGCGGGCACGATAACTCAAAAACTAATAATTCAATCGATTCCAAATTTGTACACGTTTCTCTGTGAGTGTGTAGCTATCGTATGAGCTAGGATAAAGCCAATCGGTGAAGATCTTCCTTATTTTTTAACTTCAAAAATCGGCGATTTTCCAAAAATATTTTTTCGAAGGTCCGCCATTTTGTTAATTTTAGAGCGAAGTCAGTAATCCTAGTTCATACGAGAGGCAGACATGTACTCTTTCTAACACCGTTGGAATTTTCGGATTCCGATGTTCCAGTTGTTGTTGTTGTTGTAGCAGCCCTATTGCTTTTATACAATGGGCTGAGGTGACAGACGTTGGCCGAGTAAGACTCGGGTCGTTTCGGATCGTAGACCCCTCTGTCGTGGAAACGTCCGATGTTCCAGTGAGGAGTTATCATGCCCGCCATAAAAAATAAGGACTTTTCTTTAATTTCAAAAAGCAACAACAAAGCAATAACAACATTTTTTTGTAAATTCTTTTTTCTTCTCTTTTAAATCTTCAAATATATATGTGCAAAGTTACAAACCTTAACAACCATTGATATTGAGAATATGCATAGAATCACTTTCTGAGTCGATTTATGCATGTCCGTCTGTCCGTCCGTCCATGTATTTTTGTTAACAAAGTACAGGTCGCATTTATGATCCGATTTGGATGAAATTTGGCACAGGTCACTTAATTGGCCCAAGGACGAACCCTATTGAAATTGGAGTCCACGTTTAGGCATAGCTCCCATATAAGGGTATCCCCCAATTTTCGGTATTTTGAGGTTCTTTAGCGCGTTTTTTAACTGAATTCGCTGAAATTTGGTACTTTGAGTTGTAATTGGGTAGCAAATCTCTCCACTAAAAATTATAAATATGGGTCCATATTTTCGGATAGCTCCCATATAAGGGTACCATAAATTTTGCGGTTTGATGGCATTTTTCGACCGAATTTGCTGAAATTTTATACTTTGAGTTCCTATTGGGTAGCAAAATTATAAATATAGGTCCATTTTATCGGGTATCCCCCATATAAGGGTATTTTGGGGTTCTTGAACGCGTTTTTCAACAAAATTCTTTGTAATTTGGTTTTTTGTAGTCGTATATGGTAACAATCCTCCCTCCCAAAAATTATTAATATTCGCCCCCTTTTAGGGGTAGTTCCCATATAACCCCCTTTTTATACCCTTCACCACACTGTGGTACAGGGTATTGTGTATTTGTGCATATGTTTGTAACAGACAAAAATAATCGAGATAGACCCGTGATTCCTTTTGAGAATATGCATAGAATCACTTTCTGAGTCGATTTATGTATGCCCGTCTGTCCGTTCGCCCATGTATTTTTGTTAAAAAAGTACAGGTCGCATTTATGATCCAATTTGGATGAAATTTGGCACAGGTCACTTAATTGGTCCAAGGACGAACCCTATTTAAATTGGAGAAAATCGGTTCAGATTTACATATAGCTTCCATATATATTTTCTTCCGATTTTAACTTATTGATGCATCAAACTCCCAATTGTGGTCCGATTGAGACAAAATATTGCACAGAATATTGAATTAGGTCTATATAGTTATATGCCAAATTTTTGAAATCGGTTCAGATTTAGATATAGCTCCAATGTATAGTTTCGTCAGATTTAAAGTAAATTTTGCACCAAACTCCCAATATTGGTCCGATTGAAACAATATTTTGCACATAGTACTGAATTAGGTCCCGTCTGATGTATGCGAAATTTCTATATCTACAGGATATTGTAGATATTAGCATGTCTTGCATGTACCCATAGTGGTAAGGGGTATCATATAGTCGGCCCCGTCCGACTTTTGAACTTTCCTTACTGGTTTTTATTTAATATTATTACATGTTTAGAAGTAGGTGTGGCTGGCCAGGTTTTAAGAATATCTCCGATGACATCTCCGGCTATGGGACGAAATATCATTTTCATTAGAATAGTAAATATGAGTGGACGCCTTCTACTGAATATTTTTGACTTTCCCCCATGGGTAGATGGCAACTTCGGCTACGCAACAGAATCTCCTCTGCATAAACATTGTGTCCCAATACATTTAGTTTCAAATCAATGTCTTAAACCTTTAAAATTATAATCGATACCCTCCCTTTGGGAGGTCATATCTCCAGAAATACGGATTTCCTTAAAAACTATACCGTTGTAACCAGTGCCCCGGGCCTTAAACTATATTTAAGCCAATTAAGGTTTGAAGGAACCATGTCGAGGTGCAAAGCTTGGATTAAAAACATTTTTTAACATTTTAAAGAACAAAAATACAGTGGTGGTCACAGAATTAAAACATTTACTGTGGTGAATATTTTTTGATCAGCCCTCGATTCGTTTGAAGTATTTTCGAAAATTTTTTAATTCAGAACACTTCGATATACTGCACTTAAGAGATTTAGTGTGAAAATGGAAAATTATTGCATGCAATTTTTCCATAAATAACGGTTTTTATGAAAATACATCGACTTTGAAGTGGCCATATAATTAAAACAGTGTGTGATTTTTTACTTTACTGCATTTTTTGAAAATGTTTTTACAAAAGCTCTTTAATTTAGTTAAATTATGTAATGTAAGCACCGATAAAATCATTTACTGATAACAATTTTTGAAAAAATTTGTAAAATCTATCAAAATTGCCCAAAAATTTGTACAGTGCACCTTACATTCAGAAAATAACCCTTATTATAGAAAATAAAGGTCCGAATGCACCAGAAATTGCTAGAATTAGTAGAAAACAATAAACAATTCTCAAAATAAATAAATATTTGAAATAAAAACTGAAAAAAATGGGAATTAACCTTAAGGAACGATTCAATTTCGATAGCCTTTATTGAAGAAGGCCGGAAAATTTTTGCAGTATGTGAGGAAATATCGATTGATATTGGCATTTATTATATAAAATCGATTGTTCGAGTAGTACATAATATATTTTATCAAAAAATCTATCAGTCACAACAGAACGAACAGAGATCAACGCCTATGTTTACGAGAAAACGTTTCTGGTACACAGCAGCATGTTTGATGGTTAACTCTTGACCCTTAAAATATATTGAACATGACAATATTTTTCCAAAATAATATTTTTTGAATATAATAATGTCCGTTTAATCTATTTTAGCCTAAAAGAAAGAAAAAATTTACAATTTGACAAATATTTAAAGTCTTGTGTTGAGCATCAAAAATGCTGCTGTGTGGCAGAAACTTTTTCTCGTAAACATAGGCGTTGATCTCTGTTCGTTCTGTTGTGACTGATAGATTTTTTGATAAAATATATTATGTACTACTCGAACAATCGATTTTATATAATAAATGCCAATATCAATCGATATTTCCTCACATACTGCAAAAATTTTCCGGCCTTCTTCAATAAAGGCTATCGAAATTGAATCGTTCCTTAAGGTTAATTCCCATTTTTTTCAGTTTTTATTTCAAATATTTATTTATTTTGAGAATTGTTTATTGTTTTCTACTAATTCTAGCAATTTCTGGTGCATTCGGACCTTTATTTTCTATAATAAGGGTTATTTTCTGAATGTAAGGTGTACTGTACAATTTTTTGGCAATTTTGATAGATTTTACAGATTTTTTCAAAAATGTTTATCAGTAAATGATTTTATCGGTGCTTAATTTACATAATTTAACTAAATTAAAGAGCTTTTTAAAAACATTTTCAAAAAATGCAGTAAAGTAAAAAATCACACAATGTTTTAATTATATGGCCACTTCAAAGTCGATGTATTTTCATAAAAACCGTTATTTATGGAAAAATTGCATGCAATAATTTTCCATTTTCACACTAAATCTCTTAAGTGCTGTATATCGAAGTGTTCTGAATTAGAAATTTTTCGAAAATACTTCAAACGAATCGAGGGCTGATCAAAAAATATTCACCACAGTAAATGTTTTAATTCTGTGACCACCACTGTATATGTACATCATTTCATCGAATTATCTAATCAAACAATTGCACATTGTTGACAATGCTTGATAATTTTAAAATGCCTGTTCCAAAATTTGAATGATTGCACAATACGACGATTACAATATTTTCTTGATGATACTGAAAATATAGTAAAAATTAGTAAATTACCGTAGTACGGGAACATACCAAAAATGTATTTTGATTTCATATAAATATATACATGAAATCAAAATAACCACAAATGAAAATTTTTATACCCTTCACCACACTGTGGTACAGGGTATTATGTCTTTGTGCATATGTTTGTAACAGGCAAAAGGAAACGAGATAGACACATGGTTCCTTTTGAGAATATGCATAGAATCACTTTCTAAGTCGATTTATGCATGTCCGTCCGTCCGTCTGTCTGTCCATGTATTTTTGTGAGCAAAGTACAGGTCGCATTTATGATCCGAATTGGATGAAATTTGGCACAGCTCATTTGTTTGGCCCAAGGACGAACCCTATTGAAATTGGGAAAAATCGGTTCAGATTTAGATATAGCTCCCATATATATATTTAACCGATTTAATGTAAACGGTCCCTATATATCTTTCGATTTGCACGAAATTTGGTACAGCATAATGAATTAGGTCTAGAATGATGTCTGCCAAGTTTCGTGAAATTCGGTCAAGATTTAGATATAGCTCCCATATATAGTTTCGTCCGATTTCATGTAAATAGTGCCCCAAAGTCCCTATATATCTTTCGATTTGCACGAAATTTGGCATAACGTACTGAATTAAGCCTCGAGTGGTGTCTGCCAAGTTTCGAGAATATCGGTCCAGATTTAGATATAGCTCCCATATATAGTTTCGTCCGATTTCATGTAAATGGTGCACCAAAGTCGCTATATATCTTTCGATTTGCACGAAATTTGGTACAGCCTAATCATTTAGGTCTAGAATGATGTCTGCCAAGTTTCGTGAAAATCGGTCCAGATTTAGATATAGCTCCCATATATAGTTTCGTCCGATTTCATGTAAATGGTGCACCAAAGTCGCTATATATCTTTCGATTTGCACGAAATTGGGCATAACGTACTGAATTGAGTCTAGAATGATGTCTACGAAGTTTCGAGAAAATCGGTCCAGATTTAGATATAGCTCCCATATATAGTTTCGTCCGATTTCATGTAAATGGTGCACCAAAATCCCTATATATATATATATTTCGATTTGCACGAAATTCGGCATAACGTACTGAGTTGAGCCTAGAGTGATGTCTGCCAAGTTTTGAGAAAATCGGTCCAGATTTAGATATAGCTCCCATATATAGTTTCGTCCGATTTTATGTAAATGGTGCGCCAAAGTCCCTATATATCCTTCGATTTGCACGAAATTTGGCATATCGTAATGAATTACGTCTAGAATGATGTGTGTTAAGTTTACTGAAAATCGGCCCAGATGTAGATATAGCTCCCATATATAATTTTGTCCGATTTAATGTAAATGTTGCACCAAAGTCCCTATATATATTTCGATTTGCACGAAATTTGGTATTGCGTAATGAATAAGGTCTAGAATTATGTGTGTTAAGTTTCGTGAAAATCGGTTCAGATTTAGATATAGCTCCTATATATTTTTTCTTCCGAGTGTGTGTAAATTGTGCACTAAAGACCCAAAGTTTGTCTGATTTCCACACAATTGGTACAATGAACTGTAGTTACTATAATACATTTCCTTTACATTGCTTTATATAACTTTGTCCCATTGTAGGAAGCAACCCTATATCTGACCAAATGAAAACTTTAGTGTAGGTTACAGAATGACATGTTTATGGATCCATTTTCATGTTAATGGTCCTTCAAAAATTCGACGTCTGTTATGATTCATCTGTTGAATATACCCAAAGTGGTGAAGGGTATCATATAGTCGGCCCCGTCCGACTTTACTGCTTTCCTTACTGGTTTTTGATCTTTAAATAAAAAATAAACCTTCAAATAAAAAAATAATATAAATCAATAATATAAATAAGTATACTGTAATAAAGTTCTTAAAATATGTGGTGGTTATTTTTTGGATTTTTCCCCGCTAGATTTTTTAATTTCACCCACGCACTATAGGTAATTTGCCCTGTTTTGGAGAACATGCATAGAATCAATACAAAAATGTGTATAAGTCATCTATTTTTTAACCGATTTTGATTTTTACCATTTTCAAAAGCTAATTTAATTTTCTTCCCCGTAATATAATAAAACTTATATGGCTTGATATCATAATTTCATCGTACAGTCCGAAGAAAAATAAATTTTGTCATTTTATGCGTATTTTTTCACATTTCAACCGCTGTAACTCAGCCAATCCTCAACCGATTTACCAAATATATATCTTGTTTGAAAGAAAAAAAAATTGTACTCTTCGAAAGAAAAAAGAATAATGTAAATCCGTTATAAAGTAAATAAGTTATTCAAGTTTCAAATGGAAAATCCATGAAACCACGTTTTTCTCTATATATACCGTTATAAAATTAATTTTCGAAGTGACCCAGAAAAACCAAAGGTATTTTCGTGGTCCAGGGATTCCAACTAAACAGAATTGGTACATTAGAACCCCAGAAAAATTTTTGTGTCGCACAGTGTAATACTTAAAATTCACAACTTTGTGATTTGTAAAGGGCATAAGAAATTTATTATTTCTTACGTACCCACTCAGAATCTGATACAAAATTTCAGCTGTCCTCTTGAAAAACATTTACAACATTAAAATAGAACTTAAAGTATGTCATATGTATATTCAGTGTAAATGTTGCATTTGCACCTATTAGGTAAAATTTATAAAAACCAAAAATTATAAAATAAAAAAATGTATGAGGCTTGAAAGGAAAAAGTGTTTAAAAATGCCCCCATCTCTCCTACACTTTTTTTCATGTTTTTTGGAACATTTTTCATCCGAATTATATGTTATTTGGCATTTCGTTTCTCCGAAGATAATTTTTTTAACAATTATATGTATTTTTTGATTAAACAGGATTCCAAGTCACTGTCATTTAACGAAGCTTTGTGCAAATTTGAAGAGTTTTGCGTAGACCAAAATATTTTAGACAGCTTCAATGAAATTGTTAACGTTTTCGGATTTAGAAAAGGTCAACGATTTGCAGAAAAAGTGAGTAATGACGTCTAAAACTAATAATATGCAAGATATTGCAAACATGGAATGTGAAAAAAGGACACCAACAGAAGATAAGTTGATTGTAAACATGTTTCTTCAAGTAATGGAGCAATAAAAATAAAAATGATTTATTAACACCATTAACATTCATATTGGTGCTGGAGCACAATGAAGTGAATGCTTTTGCATCCGCATTATATTCAAAATGTTAATATTACGAATATGAATGCGAGGTAATACATTTTAAATAAATAAAAAAAAAAAACTAGTGTGCTCAAATGGGGTTTTCCTTAAATGGACATATAAATTTTAAATCAATCTATAGTGGGAATCTCAGAAGGGTTCCAACTTAGAATAATTATGTGGATGAATCACATAATCATTAAGTTGCAAGAAGCCGTAACCCTAATGTACATTTTCAAGGATATCTTCTTCTAGGTCCCTGTTGTTTGTAATGTAATGTTAGTGATTTATATGGATGTATTAATAGTAGGAATTGTATGTCGTTTGATTTTGATGTTAATATAAATACATGTTTTTTGACAAAAATTTATACTATTGCCTGTACATTTTAACTTTATTTTAATAATGAACTAAATACAAATATATCAAGAGTATCGAATAATAAAATAAATAACTGTGAGATCTCTAGGTAATAAGCTTATTTAGATGCACGAGTTTTTATATTTTTACAGTTGTTTTTTATGTCCATCCCAATTTCATGGCAGTATTATTAAAAAGTCAATAATTACAATGTAAAAATAATAATAAAACTATAAAAAGTTCTATGGGGGAAGATTTGGTATTTTAAAGTGGTATACAATTTTAATTTCATATTAATCGCATATTAAAACAAAATAGAACCTCTAGATGATCTGAATTCTAACACGACTGATAGCAATGATAATTACAATAATATGCCTATGGGTGACGAATGCACACTGTCAAATGCCGAAGCTGCCCCGGGTAGGGGCACCTCTGGCGAATTATACTTTTTTTTACAAAACTTTAAAAATTTGAAGTAGCGTGAGTGACCGCTCTTATGTGACTTTTATCTCAAAAGAAAAAAAAACCGGTACAAAAAAGTATTAAGGGTGAATTCTAAAAAATGTAATTGTGTTTGATTTATTTAAGATTTATTCAATATATGTTATAGAGACCTTTTTATATAGTTATGTTTAATTTTACGAATTGGAATGTGGGAGATTCCATAAAACATGGTTCAAAAATTTTATAATTTATTTTTTCGTTTCAATTTACAGTACTATTTTGCAATATTTGTTCAATTTAACTAACTGCTAATTTATAAAAATTATAGGTACAGAAAAAACCTTCCAAAGAACAAAAACAAAAACAACCAGCATATAAACGAAAAGTCAGTAATTCGGAATATATGCGAAAATTCTACGATTATCATTTAATAGAGCCACAATGGAATGATACCGATAGAACTGGAAAGTTAAGAGAAATTGATACCGACGATGAAGTAAAAATATTCGTTAATGATGAAACGATTAAAATAATAACCAAAAATGAACACAACACATCTGTAAACACCAACAATCCTATATACATTGACGATGGAGTAAACATAGTCGATCTAACACAAAACATTGAAGACGACAAGGAAAACATACCAACGAATTCCAATCAAAGAAATGTCTTTTTAAAAAGTGATAATGATTACGATGATATTGAAATGATCTGTGACCTATCTGCATCATCAGGACATTCCAAGTCTTCACAAGGAACATCAACATGTAGTGCATCATTGGTTAATAGTAATATCCAGATAGATGACGGCTTAACTATAATCAATGTAGAACATTTAGATACATCTGAAACCATTGTTGTAGGAGATAAAAAGATGTCCTCCACTAGCACACATGTGAATCATCGAGAGTCATCTTTAAATGAAAGCTTCAGTTGTAGAGAAAATCCTTATGAGTCTAAATTAATTACTGAATCTACAATGCAGTTAGTGGCAAAAGATATATTGGACAAGTATTTACCAGTAGCAAGAGGGAATAACGAGCCAATTATTAAGACCGATCGAATACAAATACATGATGGTCATACCGTTATTGATCTCCATGATTTAGTTGACGTTGACATAGATACTAGTTCAAAATATTATCAGGATAATATGGATGGAATTCAAGTAGTTAGTGAAATTTCTTTAAATCAAAATTTTCCATATAATTGTGACAATAACAATACAACTAATGGTAAAAACAACAATAATACCATAACACAGGTAACGGTTTATTCATATATTGCATGACTTTTTATTTTAATATGTGTCGCATGAATGTTATAAATTCGCAGCAAGTAGATTTGTTTATATCGATTTTTATAATGCATGCCTAAAACTATTTTGAAACATTAATTCCTATATACACTGGTGACCAAAATTAAATCAATTGAAATTGCAAAGATAAAAATGTTGTATATCTTTTTTATATAAATAAACATATAGTGTTGTTTTTTTAATTTTCTTTTTTTATAGGTAAAGGATTTTATTACAATGTGTCTGTTTTCAATTTTGTATTATAGCCTAGACAGACGACAGCCTTATTTTGCATTAACAGCCTTAATTTAAATTAACTTGTACATTATCCTCATTTTTATGTGTTGTTAATGCACAAAATCAAACTGAATTTATACTGAATTAGGCAATTTCAATATGGCAATGCTGTCAAAAATTAATTGTTTCTTGTCAAATTTATTTATATTTATGAAAATAAAAATAAGAAATGAAGACAAATTTCAACCATTGTTTTGAAGCAAAAAAAAAAAACTGTTTCGTAAATGCAGAAACTCTCCTCTGTTAGGGGTAAATATTAATTCAAATTAAGAAATTTTTAATGCAATTTAAGGCTGTCGTGTGTCTATGGTATTACTGTCGAAAAAATATAAAAAAAATCCTAGAAAAAATACAGTACACCCATAAAACAGCTGATTACTAGTGATTGTGATCATAATTTATCACAGAATTTTATTTCAGAATAAATCAGTGATTTCCCGAATTATAAGCGGATTTTATGCAACTATATCAGTAGTGACTGTTCAGCACGAAGGAAGGCTGCAAAAGAACATTAGTTCGTACTGATCAACAAATTATCATGGCAGTAAAAAATACCCATTTAAGAGTTGAACGGAATTTTTGAAACGGTTATAGTTGGATATAACGTCAAGAACAGAAACTACCAAGAAATTTATTTTATTTCTAAAAGGATTCGGAAAGCCAGATTGCCTTTCGTAAAAGCTCATATTAATTGGATTTCGAATGAGTGGAGAAAAATTATGATAACGGAGGAATTAAAGTCATATATTAACGTGAGAAAGTTCCAAAATAAGGGCTCATGCCACAGTATTGAAAGGGTACTGGCAAGTATTCAGGACGATCAATAATGGTATTGGTCTGTTTTTCTTTTTATGGAGCTCCATATACTTAGGAGATTTATGAAGTGATGGATCGGATTGTTTATACAAAAGTATTGGAAAACCCTATGGTTCCCTCGGGGTTTTAAAATGGCCAACACAATCATCACCTATCGGAACATCTTTGGAGTATCATATATAGCAAAATCAAGAGTTTCACAAACAAACAGGGATATACTCTTCCCAAGGATCAAATTGAGAATTTTATTGATTCAATGCCTCGTAGGTGTGCTGCCGTAACCATTTACTTATTTAAAAGAAAACATCAGAAAGTTGCTTTAGTTTTAGGAAAAATTGGGTTAATTTAGTTTTCCATAGAATATTTTTAATTTCAAAATAAATTTTGCGTTTGTTTATTTTTTAATGTGAATAAATTGCTTATTTATTTCGGGGGAAAAACTTTTACTATAAGTTTATTTATAGTTGCAGGTCATTTATTGAGTTGCATTAGTTTTGGCCATCAATGTATATTAACGTAGATAATTCTATAGATTCTTACTTCGAAAGCTATACATATTAATAATTCGTAATTTATGAATAAAATATTTTTTTTTTTACTTTTCGGATCAGAAGATAATTTAAATGAGAGTCTTTACTGATATTTACTGAAATAACGTCTGCTTTCTGACAGTGCTGTTGCCATTTACAAAAATATATTATTTCTATATGGTCCTATTAAATCTCATTTTAATCACTCTTTCCAAAACTTTCGTTCGCTGCACTAAACATAGATTGGGTCTTGAAAACTTAATATTAAGCTATTGCCGATATACAATTTTTCTGTAATTATGTTGAATGCTATTAAATATCCATATATAAAATTCACTTCATTAACATATTCAATAAAAACCATATAAATATTATATATATATATTATATATATATATATATATTATATATATATATATTATATATATATATATATATATTATCAATATTTTCATTTTTCATTATGATTTTTTATTTAAAGAATATTGCAAATGAGGACTCCGTCGAAACAGATGACAGCAGTCCCACAGAGAACGAACCAATAAACGATATAAATTTGGACGATGAAAAAGGTATTTTAGACTTATCCACAACTGGCAACAAATCACTTGAAAATATGCAGAACAGCAAGGTAAGTAGCTTAAGGAGACCTCCTCCATTCTCGATTTAATTTTTTTAGGATTTTCAATATGTACTTGAAGGCTAAAAGGATAAAAAAATGAATTTACTTAATGTAATAGTTGTTCTTGCAATGAACGAAAAGTTATTCTTCTCGATGGTGGGCAGGATTCCCAATGTTGGGTTTTTGGAATACCCCTTTTTCCAATCACAAACCCTGTAAGAAAATAAGGAAAATCTTGACCGATTACATTTATCGTAGTTCATATAATAGGTATGCACGTACTGAATAATGGATAAGTTGACAGTATATACAAGAGGAGTGGCTGACCTGAACCTGTCAAGAGATGCAAATACCGCAAAATATTGTCCAGGCTCTAAATATAGATCCGCAGAAAGTTAGACTTCAGTAGTAGTTGTGTCCGACTGATTTTCTCTATATTTTAATATAATTGCAATTGGATTTTGCAAAAATGTGTGTTAATAAATGTAGGGCCACCTAATATTGCAGAGGAAATTGGCGTATAAAATATACATGAAATCAAAGATGAAAACAATATTCCATGCGATTTTTTAGATTTCAAAAAAGCTATAGAGCGATTTAAAAGATTAACATATCTTATTCTGTCTTACGACATCGTAACAAAATTTTAGAGTAAACAATTACATAAATATTATTTTCAATTCATATTATTTAATATATTCATTATTGTTATGTTATAGAAACCACAAAATAATAGTTGCGAAATAATTGATGAGGAAAATGTCCTTGATTTATCCATAACTGGCAAAGTGTCATTAAAGAATTTACAAGACATTAGCAGCGGAGCAGATGGAGATAAGGACATACATAACGTAAATATAATAATCCATGTATATCATTATGAACAAGAATGTGAAATGATAGTTATACGCCATTATTATATAATTGATTAAATATTTGCATATTTCTTTATAGGATATTCCAAATGCTGCTGATACACCTCAGGCTATAGATTTTTCCACTACGGTTTTAAACGCATCTGTTGTAACAGCTATAAATAGTACGGAAAATGCTATGGCTGCTCTTAATAAGGAATCAGATACTGATAATGAAGATAATATTCTCGATTTATCTACACATGGCAAAGTTTATTTAGTGGAAGATTTAACTCCGATAAATGTAAAGCCCTTCTTACAGTCTCTAAAAGTAAGTACTTATGTAGCAGGCAACCCATAGCATGACATTAAGTTTGTTGAAATTGGTTCAGATTTAGATATGGTTACCATGTCAAAAACATTTTCCATTTATTACATTTATAATTCTTTAATTATTTTCAAGCTAGCGAATATAAATATTAATACCAACCATATCCCCGACGAAAATACTGCAACGACGATTAATATTAGAGAAGATGACGTAAAAAAGCCAAGTAATAATTCACAGGATGTCCCGTCACAAATTTTGACTAATGAAACGACAGATGTTACAATCCATTTGGATTCCAGCTTAAAATCTCATGAAGTAAGTTACTAAATTATATTTTTAAACATATTTTTCTGATATATACTCTTTTTATTTAGGTTGACAATCAAAACAATGGCCCTAAGGTTAATTCCGCTAATATAATAAAAGGAAATACTCCCCCATCATTGGAAGACAAAACCATTTATCGAAACATTGTCCGACAAAAAGAAAGAAGAAAATGTATTTCCTAATAAAATTGAAGATGAAAGTAATATAAAAACTACTATAGAAGGAAATGATCGGCCAATGAAAACTTCATTATTTGCCCACGTATCTGCAGATGTACATGATGACGAAAATGATACACCGTTGGAAGTCAATACCAATGGGAATGTAGTGGTGACGACCTTCGAAGAAATATGTACTTCAAAAACTTCAGATGTAAAACCTGCCAAAGAAGACGACAAAGGTATTAATGTTGAAAATTGTGTACAGAATTTTTCTAATGAATCTACAGGTAATTTTATTAACGAAAGTGAAACAAATAAACAAATTCTAAATATCATAGATGAATTGAGTGATATATTTGATGACGAATTCGATATGGAAGCGACAAATGAAAATCATACATATGGAGCAAATGAGTTGCTAGCAGCAATTGATGAAGTATTTTCGGAATTAAAAACATCAAAATCGCCTGTGGGAAAATGTGTATCGACGGCAGGAGGACTGCCACTAGAACATAATGCTGAGAACGACTACATGGCTCCAAGAACTCAGAAAAAGGTGTTAAATGATCCAGAATTAAAATCTTCAAAAACTTCGGTGGAAACCGCTACTTCTTCAGTTGGAAAACAGTCTCTAGATTGTAAGATTGTCAGTGTTTGTAAAGATAATGAAGAAACCCTCGAAAAAAGTGAAACAAATTTAAATAATTTAAAAGTAGTTGAAGATAATCTCGAAATAATAGCAACAACTGAAAATTCTATGACGTCAATCAGTGAAAAGTCCTTATCATCAAGATCTCAGACAGATGTGAAAATTCTAGAAACAATGGAAGATACAAACAATAATCACCATGTATATAAAGAATTCGATCAAACATTACAGAATAATGATGTTATCAAAATGTCGACAGAATCTTTAAACAAGAATGATTCTCATCCATATGCCAAAAGTCTAATTAAATCAAATAACATTTCGATAAAATCTAACATAAACTCAACCAAATATTTAGATAAAGATGTGAATAAAACAACGAAAACATGTGAAACTAAAACCACCGAAGCCCTTGAGGAAGATACTGAAGAGGTAGGTATTAATATTTCGACTACCTTCAGTGCGTAGTAAATTACCATAAATAATTTTGTAAATAATTATGTAAATCATTATGAAAAGATCAAACGTTTGTCCGATTGAAATTAAATTTTTATTAAAATCTTTTTCTTGTCATGTTTATTCAGATATCTGAAAATAAATGTACGAAATCAGATATGACCGATGTCAAAACGATCGAACCTAAATCGAATAATATGCAAGCATCAACAAATTTTAATGCAGAACTCAATAACGCTCCTTTTAATTTGAAAATAACTGCAGTAGTATCTATTCCGAAGCAAGAATATATAGAAAATTGCGAATTGGAGCAAAATCGAAATATTAATGAACTATTGAAAGTAAAAACTGAAGAAAAGTTCGAAAATAATAAAGACGTTGAAATTAAATATGAAGAAGAAGACGCTATGCATTTTTGTCATCATGATTTAAAGCCGTTAAAAGACGAATGCAACGATGACTCAAAGGTAATTAACTACACATCTCATTGTTTTGATGAAATACATTTGTATATTTGAAAAATAGGAGACAAATTCAGTAAATGATATGAAATATGGAGATAATCACTCGATTTCAGAACATGGATTACTAACTGGAGCAAGTGAAGTGAAAACAGAGGAGAATTCTGTAAGTTTTATTTTAATTTTAAAATATAAAATTTAAGGTATGTATTTACAAAATGTTTTTTAGGAAACAAAAATACCATTTTTGAACCTGATCATTCTGTAATAATAATATTTTTTAATGTTGCGTATACATTTTTATTTTCAAATATATTTATATTTTTTAAATTTAAGGATGATTTTACTAAACAAAAGTATATTGAATTGGATGAGTTACCCGTGCCAGATATTAAGGATGATGATTCCGTAAATTTAGATGACGGCGAATATATGCATGACAATTCAGAAGATTCAAAATCCGAATTAACAACATTAAGCAATATTACAGACGATTGTCAAGATGAATTATTGGATCAAATTGAAATAACTACTTCAGAAGATACAAGTATTTCGGATACAAGTGATAATAGGAGAATTAGAAAGAAGGTATGAACAATACAGAAACCATTTGGAATTGTCTCTAAAAATATGAACAATTTTCTAGAACTTGTTTACTCGTCCCAGCGATTCAGTGTATTTTAAAAGGCCACCAACGAAAAGAAGAAAAATGGAACCACTATGTGAAAAACGGCGTAAAATTAATAAAAAGGCAAAAAAGGTCGAAAGAAATTCAAAGCCAAATAAGTCCACTCCA